CAAAGCTTCAAATCTCTCATCTTTATATGCTTAAAAAAAAGACACCATGCATTTAAAGAAGCTACTGTCTGGGTGTCGTCCTACTGAATAAGGTAAAAGGAACTTGGTGTTAATGAAAAAGGTCTGTCCTTTTGACATATTAGAGATGAGTCCTAACTGAATAGCTGTTGTTTAGTGGTGGTGGCCCTAGCTGTCTAATGTTTCTTGATATGCTTCAACTGTAACTCAAGGAGACTGCTAGGTGTCAGTTTCATTCCCTGTACTTTTTGATTTCTGAATCTATCAAGGTTGTTCATTCATACGGTAGCTTAAAAGCTATCAGATACAGTGTACTCCATTTAAGTATGTAGTCCCGGGACTGAAAATAGGCTGCACATTTGCTTGGAGTATGTATTTTATTGTGAAAGTGCTTAATGTGAAGAATGCTAATTGATTGCAGGTGAAGCTTTCACTATGTTTTGTTTTGTTTTTTATATATATATATTACTGAGGTCTCTAAGCTTAGTGTCTTGTGTCTCTAACAAAGTGATCCTCAACCTTTTTTAGAGTAGGGGTACTGTGACTTCTTTGAACATGGCAGTATCCCAGGTTGAGAACCAGTGAACTACTGCAATGTGTTCCATGTGTTTTTTAAGGAAAAATGCTTTAGACGAGATTGGGGTGGGGTGGGATTTGGTACGAAAAATCTTGCCACGTTGACAGGGGGAGTTAGAATAATAAAATAATAGAAAATTAGGGTTGGAAGGGACCTCAGGAGGTCATCTAGTCCAAATACCTGCTCAAAGCAGGACCATCCCCAACTAGATCATCTCAGCCAAAGCTTTGTCTAGCCGCATCTTAAACTTCCAAGGATGGAGATTCCACAACCTCTCTGTGTTAGCTGTTCCAGTGTTTTACTACCTTCCTAGTGAGGGAATTCTTCCTAATATCTAACCTAAACTTACCTTGCTGCAGCTTGAAACTGTTACACCTTGTTCTATCATCTGCCACCACTAAGAACAGTCTAGCTCCTTCAGGAAAGCTGCTATTAAATCCCCTCTCAGTCCTCTCTTCTTTAGACTAAATAAGCCCAGTTCCTTCAGACTCTCTTCAGAAGTCATGTGCCCCAGCCCTCTCACCATTTTTGTTGCCCTCTGCTGAGCTGTCTCCGATTGTCCACATCCTTTCCATAGTGGGGGGCCCAAAACCTGACACAGTACTCCAGATGTGGCCTCTCCAGTGCTGAATAGAGGGGAAGAATCACTTCCATTGACCTGCTGGCAACACACCTACCAATGCAGCCCAGTATGTCATTGGCCTTCTTGGCAACAAGTGCACACTGATGGCTCATATTCAACTTGTTATCCACTGTAACCCCCAGGTCCTTTTCTGCGGAGCTGCTGCCCAGCCAGTCAGCCCCCAGGCTGTACTGGTGCATGGGATTGTTCTGTCCTAAATGTAGGACTTTGCACCTGTCCTTGTTGAACGTTTTAAGATTCCTTTTGGCCCAATCCTCCATTTGTCTAGGTCTCTTTGAATCTGAACCCTGCCCTCCAGCGTATCTAGTACGCCCCCAGCTTGGTGTCATCTGCAGACTTGCTGAGGGTGCACTTTATGCCACCTTCGAGGTGGTGGATGAAGATATCAAACAAAACCAACCCCAGAATCGACCCCTGGGACATTCCACTTGATACCGACTGCCAACTAGACAGCAAGCCATTGATTACTACCTTCTGAGCCCAATGTGCCAGCCAGTTTTCTGTTCACCTTACAGTCCAGTCCATTTATCCAGCCCATACTTGTTTCACTTGCCTGCGAGAATGGTGTGGGAGACAGTATCAAAGCCTAGCTAAAAGCAAGGTACACCACATCCACTAGTCTTCCTGCATCCACAGAGCCAATCATCTCAGAGAAGAAAATCAGATTGGTCAGGCATGACTTGCCCTTGGTGAACCTATGCTGACTGTTCCTAATGGCCTTCTCCCCCAACTGCTTAGGAATGGATTCCTTGAGGGTCTGCTCCATGATTTTTCCAGGGACTGAGGTGAGGCTGACTAGTCTGTAGTTCCCTGGATCCTCCTTCTTCCCTTTCTTAAATATGGGTGCTGTGTTTGCCCTTTTCCAATCATCTGGGACCTCTCGTAGCCATGAGTTTTCAAAGATGATGGCCAGTGGCTCTGCAATCACATCAGCCAAGTTCCTCAGCTCCCTCGGGTGTATCCCATCCGACCCCGTGGACGTGTATATGTCCATTTTTTTTCTAAATACACCCTAACCTGTTGTTTCACAATCAGTTGAACCTTGATTGACGAAAATATATCTTTGAATCATCCAGCCTTCTGACTAGGCTTCTGAGTTTTTAATGCTTTGGAACAGAGCAGCATTGGAGAGTTAAAAGCAGACACTGCACTGTCTGCTACAGTGACTTTGACCAGATTTTTAAAAAACCAAAACCCTATTGAATCTGGGATACTGTGTCTCTAGTTCTGCCTGTTTAAACAATGAACTAATTGCATCTGTTTGGAGAGTTAATACAGAGTTCTTTTAATGTCCCCTGATCAATGTCTGTTTGAATTTCCTTCAGTTCTAAACAGCTCTTCGGCTTCTACTTACCTCAGTGGTTGTTAACCACCATGGCCAGGTAAAAGTGCCCCATGTGCCTGCTGTACAGCCAGACCAGGTAGGGCTGCCGCACATGTGCTCTCCTGCTGTGGTAGGGCTCTCTGTTAAGCCTAAAACAGGCAGGAGAGCCAATTTGATCTGCAGCCTTTCCTGGTCCAACCCTGCACGGCATCTTCCACAAAGAGGGATAGGTGGAACTGTCCTGTGCGCCTCTTTCTGGGGGGAGCATGGGGTGGGCTGGAGTAGGAGAGGCTGCAGCACTTAACTAGCTCACCTGTCTGCTTCAGGGATATCAGGCAGCCCTGATGCACAACAGGGCACACATACAGCAGCTGCTTGGGGCCCTTTTACCTAGCAGTGGCAGCACCCCTAGCACAGAGGGTGGAGGGCACCCATAGCAGTCTGGGGTGCTGTGGCACTACAGAGAATGACTGCTCTAACAGTACCATTGGAATTGACAAGGCCCAGTCAGTTCAGGGCTGTTCTAGATGCTTTGACATTGCTAGCACTGAGTTAAATGCAGTTACATTACAGAGAAGATGATAGGGCTGAAGGCTTCTTGTGCACATACAAGGTTTATTTGCTTAACTGATAATCATTACAATGTAAGCAGTTGGCACAATTTTTAGCAGCATTATTGTTATGCAGTTGAGCAAACTGAGCACTTTTCCAGTTTGCGCACAAGTTTTGTATAGTGCAACAGGTTTTTGTTAGAATACTTAAGTTAACCAAGTTTACCCAACAGAAGATATGCTGTATTATGTATTATAACTATTTCTAGTCCCATTATCCATCCAGTCCCTCTTTCCTCTTATAGATAGTAAGGAAAAGTAGTATTTTACTTGAACTCAAGCAAACTTTTATGTAGCAAGCTTTTCATCTGCAAGTAATTCTGGGTGGACAGTTTTCATAGTTTCATAGTCGGTAGGGTCGAAAGGGACCTGAGCAAATCGTCAAGTCCGACCCCCTGCCATGGCAGGAAAGAGTACTGGGGTCAAATGACCCCAGCGAGGTGTTCATCCAGCCTCCTCTTAAACACCCCCAGGGTAGGAGCCAGCACCACTTCTCTTGGAAGTCGGTTCCAGTTCCTAGCCACCCTGACAGTGAAGTAGCGCCTCCTGATATCTAGTCTAAATCTGCCCTCTGCCAGCTTGTGACCATTATTTCTTGTCACTCCTGGTAGTGCTCGAGGAACAGGGACTCCCCCAATCCTGATCATGTGGGTGGCCCTCTGGACCCTTTCCATGTTGTCCACATCCCTCCTGAAGTGTGGCACCCAGAACTGGATGCAGTACTCCAACTGCAGCCTGACCAGTGTCGCATAGAGGGGGAGGATCACCTCCTTGGATCTGCTTGAGATGCATCTGTGGATGCATGACAAGGTGTGGTTGGCCTTCCTGACCGCGTCCCCACACTGTCAGCCCATGTTCATTTTGGCATCAATAATGACTCCAAGATCCTTTTCTGCCTCTGCACTGATGAGAAGGGAATTCCCCAGCCTGTAGGTATGCTGCTGGTTCTTCCTCCCCAGGTGCAGTACCTTGCACTTGTCAGTGTTGAACCCCATCCTGTTCTCATCTGCACACCCCTGTAACCTGTCTAGCTCTGATTGCAGCCTATTCCTCCCTTCTAGCTTGCCTGCTTCTCCCCACATCTTAGTGTCGTCTGCAAATTTGAACAGGGTGCTTTTTACACCCCTGTCCAAGTAGCTGATGAAGATGTTGAACGGTGCCGGCCCGAGGACCGAGCCCTGGGGAACCCCACTGCCCACATCCCTCCAGGTCAAATAGGACCCATCCACCACCACCACTCTCTGGGTGTGGCCCTCCAGCCAACTAGTGACTCATTTGACTCTGTAGTTGTCGACAAACTTAGTCCCCTAAGTTTTTTAATGAGAATATGGTGAGAGACGGTGTCAAACAACTTCCTAAAGTCCAGAAAGACTATGTCCGCTGCTACCCCTGCGTCTAAGTATTTTGTGACCTGGTCATAGAAGGCCACCAGGTTGGTCTAATGAACCCATGTTGGTTGCCCCTAAGCATAATCTCCCCTGCTGGCCCCTCATGGACATGTGCCAGGATAACTTTCTCAAAAAGCTTACCCAGGACCGAGGTAAGACTGACTGGTCTATAGTTTCCTGGGTCCTTCTTCCTCCCTTTTTTGAAAATGGGAATCACATTGGCCCTTTTCCAGTCCTCTGACACCACACCAGAGCTCCACGAGTGCTAGTAAAGCTGTGCCAGGGGTCCCGCAATGACCTTTGCAAATTCCCTCAGCACTCTGGGGTTGAGATAGTCAGGACCAGCTGATTTAAATATGTCCAGTCCCTCCAGAAGTTCCCTGACTAGATCCTCACTGACCCTAGGCCTGGGTGCGCCTCCCCTGGGACCTATGGGGGTCCCGGAGGGGGAGGGGGGGGTGACCCAGTCCCTGCTCAGAAAAGAGGAGGCAAAGAAATTGTTAAATAGTTTTGTGTTGTTACTTTTGCTGCATGGCATAAATACCTTTTATATTAGGCTATACTTTTTAGACTGCTTTAGTGTTTGTAATTTGCTGAAACAAGCAAGCTATAAAATTGTTATTTTGGTATTCTGTGTAGCAGGGGTTTTTTTTGTCTTTCCTCACTATTTATTCTGCAGTATATATCAATGCTATTGTATAATTTGTTATTTTTATTCCTTTCAGAGCAGTTGAACAGATTTGCAGGGTTTGGTATTGGTCTTGCAAGGTAAGACCTTTGTTTTGTATAAAATATTTTTCAGTGGTGATCATGCCTTTACATCTTGCAGTCTCTTATACTCTCTGAATCCATATTATGTTATAAGATTGTTGTTTTTGTGCAGTGGCTGTTTTTGTTTTTATTTAATAAATTGAGATGAGTATAATAGGTTTTAATTTTAAATGTTTTAAATCTAGTTTTCTGTCAGATTTTTGTAAGATGTGCTATTAGCTCTCATAAGTGTCAAAAAAAACTATTTATAGTTATTTTGGAAGCCATGGGGCATATTAAATGCCTGCAAAACTGGTAAGTTTTATCTATTATATTTCATCTAACTGAAAAGTTCCTTCTAATATATATTATAATTATATAGTACTATGTGTGTATTTATATAATTTTGCATGAAAGCCCAAAAAAACTTCTTAAAACATTCTATTTGAAATGTAGTCAGTAGTATTAGTTGAGGTGTGGAAGTGGATGGAGCTGCATTGACTCAGGGTTGTGCAATAGCATATAATGTATACTAGTTCAATGCATATGATGCCATTTCAACTGGCTACTACTTTAAGGTATAATTTCTTCCTCCTATATCTTGGGGAAAAAACAGACAATTTCAAATACTAGCAATTTACTTTGAGTAAAGAATCCAGAAAAGAGTCGTGGCAACCTTGACTCCTGAGTAGGAGGGAAGGAGGTATTGTTGAGAATACACAATTGTATGTGAAAAGACATCTGAGCAGTGTGCATTGGTACTTTGTGGAGTGTCTACGTTAGTCACTCTAACATTTTTAGAGAATATCAATCTTCCCTCAGCAGATACTACTGTCACTGAGTACAACATTAAAGTATACTAGAGTGGTAATATTATATTAGAGTGGCAAAATGATCCAAATATGTATTATCCTTGCATATAGCAATATTAATTTGTTTTTTAAGAAAATGGTGGACCTTAATATTTAATCCTGTTTTCAGAACACTTATGTTTTGAATGATTTGCAGTGAATTTTCAAGGTGTCTGCTGAATCAAGTCTGTTAATGGGCCAAATATTGAGCTCCTTCTGACTCTTTCAGCCTCAGTTAATACACTGTAGCAGTTAGAGCTGGATGGGAAATGTCCTTCCTCTCCAGTAAAGACTTCCAAGTTTGCAAACATTTCTTGTTCCTCATTGGCCTCAGATGAAAACCCTCAAAGGTAGTTTGTGTAGTAATCTGGCCACTTAAGAATGGTTAGGTCACTCATCTAGGATGCCCCCATTTGGGAGACTGAGGGCATTTTTACACACGCAAGTGCCACAGCGCCAGGCGCTGTGATGCTTACATTTGTATAAATGGCAAAATGCACATCAGCGCTGAGAAAATGGCAGCAGCACGCTTTTGAATTAAAACACGTTGGGGATGCTTTAGTTATAAAGCACACTACCGCTCTTTTCTGTGCGCTGAAATGCATTTCGCCACTTATACAACTACACGCGATGCAGTGCAGTTCGCCTCGGCTCACATGCGGAGGAGATTCAATTAATTGAGTGTGCTCCAAAGCGGCACATCTCCAGCACATCACAAGACAAAAAAAGTATGTATATAAATGCCCTGAGTCTCTAATCTTATTCAGGAAAGTAGGGACATAAACTTCATTCTTCTACACTGCATGTGAGTACAATCAGCAGTGGGCTATGAAGTCATTCTTGTTCTCTTTC